TCGGTATATGTATGGTTTATGTTTAGTAAAATTATGGAAAATATATACAATACATATATCATCATTACCGTTCATCATTACCGTTTGCATATATGATGATATATGTTGCGTTTATGTTAGTATATTTGCATAATTTTTCTTAAGAAAAAAATCGATGGCGCCTCTATTATTTTGTATTGTGTTGTGGTATATGTACAGTATATGATCAGTATATGATAAGTATATGTACAGTATATATGAAATATATACTTTTTTACCTGGCAAGAGGAAAAAAAGTACCTTGATTTTAATCGACCTGTCAATTTTGTGGTAATTTTCGTAACTTTTTTTTTCAGAATAAAATTAATTTTTTTTTAGCATATGGACGCAAAACACATGCAAAAAAAAGAGAGAAAATTGAATTAATATGGTAACTAGATCAGGAGAGTGGTTAAAATTAATTGGTAACTGTTATTATCCATTAATGTAAATAAATATTATATTTTAGGCAAAGTCACAATTAATTGCATGTGTGTGGTAGAGTTGTAAATTCTTTAAAAATGTGTAGGAGAGATAAAAATTTCCCTATTATGTATCAATTGATTTTGGCCCATTGGGGGTAATACACATTACGGCCCAAATCAACTCTATCCCAAACTTTCATGCTCGCCCAAGGATCTCTTCATCTCCCTAATTATTTCAACTCTAAATAAATGCTTCTCGGCCAACAAATGAATGGAGTATGTAGATAATGAAATGACACACAATTTGAATACTACCAAACTCCTTGCTAAATTTCGGTTTTGCTATGAAGTCAACAGTTAACTCCATAATGGAGCCAACCTTCTATATACAAGTAAACATATCATATTCGCTGATCTATATTCGATAACACTAATATAATTTTATTAAAATGCTAAGTTTATTTGTTGTATATAGAATGTCGATTCCACTATAAAATCAACTATTGGCTTCATAACAAAATCGTGCTAATTTTTAACCAAATTGCCTTTTAACAAATTGTTTTTATCTTCAACTCCCGCAAATGGATAAAGCTTCCATCAATTTGCATTAATTAGTTACATATATCATATCATATATATATAAATAAATAAATAAGCATATAGTGATATAGTAATAATATAAACCCAGTACAGTAAACTCTCGTCTCACTTGAAGAAATTCTGAGGGAAATATGCTGCAGCTTTCAATCCAACGAGGTAACGATTTCCAGCTTTCAATTACGAATTAGTGATTTTTGCCGCATGGATTCAAGAATTGTTTTTAGATTTCCCATGTTCATGTGTTTGTTATGTGCACTGAATGGTTGGCTTGATGCAGCAGCAAGAAACATGAGGAGCTTGAATCCTCGGATATTTGGGATCGCGTGTTCTCAATTTTCGACCGCTGCCGAACAATCTTGGAGGCATGGGAGCTCCCTCGTGAGTTCCTTTTTCTCTAATTGTTTTTGTTGATTCTTGCAGAGGATGTAATAATGATTGTGCTTGTGTCTCATGATTTTAGTTGCTTGTAATAAAACTTAAGAGTAGAATATAGAATGGAAAAATTTGATGATTTGCAGAACATATTTTCGTATACCCATTTTCCAAGTTCTGAATAAATAAAGTTGGAATGGTTTTTTAAGAAGCCCACATGCTCATCGAAGTGAAATGGATAAGGGGAAACAAAGAAATCAGTATGTTCTTGGGGTAATCAAAGATTTGCTTATGATCTGTATGCTTCTCGTTGATGGTTTACGTTAGTAATGGTAGATAGCCGCACAATGGTTTGGTTTTATTGTCCTTTTTTACCTGCTTATGCATATCGTAATTATATGTCTTCGCAGAGGGTTCCTAATCTAATCGGTGGTAGCTTTGTAGATTCACACTCGTCTGATTCGATTGATGTCATAAATCCGGTAAGTTGATCGGAATGATAAAATATATTTGTATTTCTTAGTTGCATACAAGGGATACAACTTTTTATTTGATATTTTGAGCATAGGCAACACAAGAGGTAGTTTCACAAGTCCCCCTGACGACAAAGGAGGAGTTCCAATCCGCTGTTTCCGCTGCTAAAGAGGCATTTCCAGCCTGGAGAAACACGCCAATCACAACACGACAGCGCATCATGTTTAAGCTCCAAGAGCTTATTCGTAAGAATATGGTCAGTGGGTCAATATTTCTTTTATTACTTTTTTTCTTGCTTTTGCATTTGGGGTAGTATA